CAGAGTGCAGCATTTCAGACCTGAGCTGGGGTGGGGGGCGGGAGAAGGGAGGTGAGGGGAAGGGGGTGGCTGATGGCATGATCGAACAGGAGGGTCTTGAGGTGGGACTTGAAGGAGGCTAAGGAGGGAGTGAGGTGGAGTGACTGGGGGATGGAATTCCAGATGTTGGGGGTGGGTGGGTCGGGGGACGTGGAGCAGGCCGGAGCCGGCTGAGTGGAGGGAGCGGGCGGATTGGTAGGGGGCTAGGAGGTCGCAGAGGTAGGTCGGGCGAGATCATGGAGGGCTTTGTAAGTGAGGACCAGGATCTTGAACTGGATCCTCTGAAGGACAGGGAGCCAGTGGAGTCGGGTGAGAGTGGAGGAGATGGGGTCACGGAGTTTGGTGTGGGAGAGCACACGGGCTGCAGAGTTCTGGATTATCTGCAGCCTGTGGAGGGAGGAGTTGGGAAGGTTGACAAGCAGGACATTTGCATAGTCGAGCCTGGAGGTGATGAAGGCATGAACAAGAGTTTCAGAGTCCTGAGGGGTGAGATAGTGGCAGAGTCCGGCGATTACGGAGGTGAGGGAAGGCAGAGCGGGTCATGGCTTGGATGTGGGGAAGAATAGACAGTTGAGGGTCGAACAAGACACCGAGGTTCCTGACTGGCTTGGTGAGTTGAAGTGTGCAACCATGGAGGTTGATGTTGCCAGAGCCTGAGGTGCAGAGGCACTGGTGCGAGCCAATCAGGAGGGCCTCAGTCCTATTCACATTCAACTGTAGGAAATGTGCCCTCATCCAGGACTTGATTCCGACAGGCAGTTTGTCAGGACAGCAGTGGTCCTGGAGTTGAGGTGGAGGCAGAAAGACAGAGTTGGGTGTCACCCGCATTCATGTGGAAGTCGACCCCATGTCTCCGGATGATGTCACCAAGGAGGAGCATGTAGATATTAAAGAGGAGAGGGACAAGGACAGAGCCCTGGGGGACGCCAGATGTGACAGTGCGGGGCCTGGAGGAGTAACCGTTAGAGGCAACGAAGTGGAGATGGTGAGAGATAGGAATCGAACCAGGCAAGGGCAGATCCATGAAGTTTCAGGGCGTAATGGCTGAAAGTGCAGCCTCTGATGATGGAAAGGAGGGCACGAGGGGCGAGCAGGATGCTGGAGCCAGTCTATCAGAGGCAGCAGGAATGACACCGAATAAGATGGGAGAAGGCCTGACAGTGAACAACTTTGCTTAACTCCCCTTTTGAGTAAGGTCAGCTCAACGAACTTCATCAACTCACCACTGGATCTTGGAGCTGGAACATACATCCTGGATAAAATCCAATATTTAGCCATCACAGCAGAAGAAAAGGTCATCAAGCTCAGGCTGCTGTTTCTCTCAAATTGAACCACATAGTCCAATTCTATCCAATTTCCCTTTTTAATAAAACATGGACTCTGCCTCAGGCAAATTTGTTTATTCTACAAGCAAATAAAACAGAATTTTGCATTCCAATATTTGGGTTTGACATAGCATCTTTAGCACATCAAAACATCTCGAAGCATCTCAATGAATAACCTGTAGGAAAAGCGGCAGCTTGTGTGTGTCGGGAAAATGCCTCAAAAAGGCCCATTCATTATTTCAGCATATTTTATGGGTGGGGGAATGTAAGAGAGAGACAACTTTCTGTGTTTCAGGATCATTGCATTTCGCCCACAAAATAGGCAGTCAATTCATTTTACATTATATTCTGTGAAGCGTTTTGAGACGTCTCAACCACGTGATAAGGCGATATATCAAATGCAAGGATTATAATTATTATTAAGGTTCACTTTAGTCGGTTATTCAACAACAATAACTTGCATTTATATAACGCCTTTCATGTTGAGAGAATATCCCATGGTGCTGGACAGTCGAGGGTTTGCACCTGAACTGGGGGTTGGATTCAAAAGGGGTGGTGGAGGTAGGAAAATGACCAAAGGCGCAGTGAAAGAGGAAGGTCTTGAAACGCATCTTGAAGGAGGCAAGGAAGGGGACAAAGCAGAGGGACTTCCTGCTTGTCCAGCTAGGACTTTGGTTTGCAGGGTTACCAGGAGCTGAGTGGGAGGATTCACTGCCCCCAGTGACTAATCTGCCCTTCAAAGTCCTGCCGGTGAGCCAGGCCCTGGAATACTGCGGATTGGCCAGGCTCAGGAACTGGACTACCGAGATCGCCACAGAGCCTGGACTCGATTCCAATATTCCGCCCCCACCCCCGAAAGACGTGGATCATTGAGAATTCAAGAACATAAGAATTAGGAGCAGGAGTAGGCCATTCGGCCCCTCGAGCCTGCCCCGCCATTCGATAAGATCATGGCTGATCTTCTGACATAACTCTAATTACCTGCCCTATCCCCATATCCCCTAATCCCTCTATTTTGTAAAAAATCTATCAGTCTCAGCCTTGAAGATGTTCAAGGACTGAGCATAGACAGCCTTCTGGGGTAGTGAATTCCATAAATTCACTACCCTCTGAGTGAAGAAATGTTTCCTCAACTCTGTTCTAAAAGGCTGACCCTTAATTTTCAGACTGTGACCCCTGGTTATAGATTCTCCTACCAGGGGAAACAGTCCCTCAGTGTCTACTTTATCAGCCCTTTAAGAATCTTATGTGTTTCAATAAGATCTCCCCTAATTCTTCTGTACTCTAGAGAATAGGTGAACACAGGCAGGTGGAGTAAAGAAACCTGCCGAAGTTTTCACTCTGCCCGGAAATCAAAATTAAGACATGAAGCTGGCCGGTGAGTGAAGGGAGTGGCTGAGTCAGTATGGTTGAAAACCACACACACACACAATCCATAGAAGTGCAAAATGACAATTTCATACCTTCCTCATCCTCAGAGTCTAATGACTGTCCATCCCACCTCTGTGCAACCTAGTACGCCACAGAGATGATTAAAGTTTGATTGGAACTGACGCACAATGCTTCTGTCGTGGTTATTTACTGCAGGTTGTTTTAAGCTCGCTGTACACTGAGCATCACCAGAAAATAAAGCTCTCCCAAAGCTGTTTGCAAGACACTGCCAGAAACATCACCATTGTGTGGGAAACTTCAGACATGATATAGAATGACAGCAAAATAGCAGACAAATCTTTCAGAGTCCAACTCTGAAGCAGACAAATCTTTCAGAGTCCAACGGGTAATTTATCAGAAACTGAACTTATGCAGATTTGCACCAAACTGAAGGTAGTAACCTTGTGGGATGCATAGTAAAAACAGGCACATGGGAGGCAAAGATTTGGGTTAAAAAGGCCATTTCTAAATTTTGCGGACAGGTTTTTTCATTTCAAATTTAAATGACCAAAGTTGAGTATCATCATCCTCGCATATGGTGCATAAAGTCGATAGGGGGTAAGGGGTGGGGGGGAGGAGGAGAAAGCGCAATATAACAGATAACAGGCGTCAAGCTAGGGGGTGCAGTGCATATCATGAACAGGAGAGCAGAAATTCTATTTTTAAAAATAGTTGAAAAAATAAGTGGGCAGAACACTCGAATGAAATACCTCCTCCTGTTTTCAAGCAAACTTTTTGCTTCCAAAATCGTCTGAGGTCGACCAAGACCAGACCGAATAGCAGATCTAAGGTACGAAATGCTAGGTTTACTGCCTTTTAACTGCACAATTCCCATCTTAAAGTGAAATTATGGAGTACCCTTAAAAAGTGTATGTTTGGAAGCCAAGTTAAAGTAGCGCTACAAAACCGTGCCATGAACAAAACAAAAGGCAACGCTGGTCAGCAAAGTGCAACAACTACAACAAAATATTACATTGATATATCGTCTTTCACATTGGGAGGTCATCTCAAGGCGTTATATAAAGGCGCTGAACAGTCAACAACTTGGACCCGAGCTGGAGGTTGGGATCAGGTGGGGTGGAGGGAAGGGAGGGAGGGTGGGGATAGGAGAGTGATTGAAGGTGAGTTCGAAGAGGAGGATCTTGAGATAGGTCTTGAAGAAGGAAAGCAAGGAGGCGAGGCGGAGGGACTGTGGGATGGAGTTCTAAAAGGTGGGGCAGAAAGGCTTAAGGCCCAACCGGTGATGGTAAGGCAGGCAGGGGACATGGAGCAGGCTGGAGCCCGGTGAGCGGAGAATATGTTGATTAAGCTAGTATCCAGAAAATGGATCCCATTTCAGTCAACAACTGCTGAAAGCAGTCCACTCACCAGGGAGATATAAAATAATGCATTTCACATCCAGACCGTTAATTGACCCTAATCATTTTATTCTTGAAAGCACTATTATTTAAAAATGAACACTGAAGGCCGCCATCTGACTTGTCGTGTCTGCACTGTCTGTTTGAAAGAGCAATCCAATCCATTCTGTTCCGTTTACCTGCCTTTTACCTACGACCCTGTAAATTATTCCTTTTTAAATATCTATCCAGTTCCCCCAACTACCATGACAGACAAGGCATTCAACATTTCAAATACTCCGTGTAAAAAAAGTCCCCCTGATCTCCCCATCTGCTACTTTGCTAACGATCTTAAAGTGACACCTTCTTGTCAAAGTGCATTTCCACGTCGCGTTCCACGTAGGACAAATGTTCATTTCAGATGGTAATAATCAGTCAGAAAATGGATACCGGGATTGAAAACAATTGCTGAAAGCAGTACGCTCACCAGGGGACATAAAAAATGCATTTCACACACAGTACCTTAATCCACCCCTATCATTTCATTCTTCTTAAAAGCTTTTGTAATGTAGATGTTGAAATGTTATATACACAGTGTCTTTAAAGATCACTTTGATAGCTGCTCCTTCCCTGAGGAGCTCATTACTTATATTCCTAAGATGCAGAGCGAGACAGGTGTGGGGCTTTTATTGGGTGATCTGTCAAATCCTGGCTTCTCTGCAGACTTACCTGTGCCGTTTCAAGTTCAGCTAACAATAGCCGTTGATCTTACAGAAACAATTTGATTGCTTTCATGCTGGTATAAAGGCTCCATTGAGTTCATCATGCAACCATAAAATAACAATCCATTTAATTATTCATTACTCACCCAATCCTAATAGATCGATGGATTGTGCCACTTTCTGAGGGCTGGCCTTGATCTCGGCGTGTTCCTTCTTCCTTGTCTTTAAAAGTAGAAATGAATTAATATAGCTGTAAATTTAAGATGAATACAATTCATACATCTGGGGGCAATAATTCCCCCACTCCCAAAATAAAAAAATTGATCACTCAATCCACGACTGTTTGTGGGACACTGCTGTTTGCAATTGCCTGCTGCCTTTCGCCCACAAAATACAGTCAATCCACTTTACAGTGCATTCTGTGAAACTCTTTGAGACGTCTCAACGACTCGATCAGGCGCTATATCAAATGCAAGGATTATTATTATTATTATTGTCATGATTTAAAATTTGTGATCTCTTTCACAATATGCACATTTGTGGGCAAAATAAAATTTATCCTTCGCAAAACAAAAAATGTGAGCACATAGCACATATCGAGCTAGAAAGCACCCTTCACTTTTATACCTTTACACCTTTATAAGGATTTTTATTATTCAGCTTAAAACTGTGAAAGGCAGAATTGTAAGGAATCGTTCAGTTGGGAACATTGAGTATAGTTTGGGATACCCATTATAAAAGAGACACCACAGCTAATTAAAAGATAAAGTAAGAGTGCAGATGTACTTAGATAATATCAGCACTCGTCCTGTACAAATAGGGGGGACGAGAAAAGGGAGTATCGACACTTGCAATTGCAAGCCCCGTTGACTGTCCCATCCAAGATGCTATTTTAATTCTGCTCAACACTGCCTGAAATGCAATAATAATAATTCTTGCATTTGATATAGCGCCTTATCACGGCTTTGAGATGTCTCAAAGCGCTTCACAGAATATACTGTAAAGTGAACTGACTGTATATTGTGTGGTCAAAGATTATTGATAAACATACAACACCGTCAGCACCTCCTTAATGTCTCAAGATAGATCAGGTGTTTGCCATGAGGCTAACCTCATTATCCCACCATTAGGTACCATGGTGCATCAACACCAACACGATGACTGCCAAATCAGTAGCATATTTGTCTCCAAGACAGAAGTTTGTGGGTTCATGTCTAACTGGGAGTTTTTGAGCTCACAATCTAGGCTGATATCAAGTGTAGTGTTAAAGGAGTGTTGCCCAGTTGAAGATGCCATCTTTTGAGTAAGACATTAAATCGAGGTCCCGTCTGTCCACTCAGGTGTTGAAGAACCCTTGACACTATTCATCAGAGAAGAGTTTCTCCCAATGTCCTGTTCTCCACATTAATTAGTCATCCATCTCCTGACTATTTGTGAGACATTGCTATGTGCAAATTGGCTGCCAAATTTGCCTACAGATAGTCACTATACTAACTGTCAAATGCCAGGATTATTATCATTATGAAATATGACAAACTACCTTACGGCATGGAAGACATTCACTTTCCTAATGACTTCATTTACACCCACATTTGTACATTAATCACATCCATTTTTTATAGGTCCATGACTATATCATCATTTGGTTCATAAAGATCAATGGATAACTCAGGCCTTCACATCAGAAACCCGGACCTGCAATTAGAGAATCCTAGCAAAAAAAAGGAGCTTTACTGCCTGTGCTTAAAAGATCCTGGCGAATGACACCTTTTACAATATCCATCCGCCTTCGGAAGAGACGCTAAACCGAGGTCCCGTCTGCCTGTTTAGGTGGATGTTAAAGATCCTGTGGCACCTTTCAAAAAGATAAGAGAGTTTCTCTCTCACGAGGTCCTGGCCAACAATCCAAGAAATAAAATTGGTCACTCACTCAACAGCTGTTTGTGGTACACTGTCGAGCGCAATTGGCTGTTGTGTTTTGCCAACAAAATAAACAGTCAATCAATCCACTTTACAGTATATTTTGTGAAGCGCTATGAGATGTCTCAAAGCGCTTCAGCTTTCAGCTCCTTGGGTCGTCAACAACAACTTGAATGACGTCGTCCGTCCATGCCGGACGACGTCTCAGAGCGCTTCACAGTAACGGATCCCGGGGCCAAGCCAGGGGGAGGGGGAAGAAGGTGACCAAAAAAGGCACAGTCGAAAAGAAAGGTCTTCAGCCGTGCCTTTTATGTCCCCCTAAAGTCACTATACAAATGCAATTTGTTGCTGTTGTCTCAATGACGTGATAAGGCGCTATATCAAATGCAAAAATTATTATTATTAATGCCGAGAAAATCGTCTGCCCTGCCTTCATTTTAAAATTTAACAAGGTACAATTCCGGTTGTTTATTTACAAAGCCCAATCCTCTGCCAGGAATTCTCAACCTTGTACCGGGGTGAAGGAACTCCAGATGGTAACATCGTAACTGGGGACTTTACCTCTTCATCATGCAAGACTTTCTGGCTTACAGACAGCAGTGATATTACACCTGCAATCTGTTTTGGAGAACATTCTCAAAAGGAAAGCACAACAATAAAACGCAGGGATACAGTGGAAACAAAACCGTCTGCCACAATACAGACAATTCTTTTGACAGAAAATTGGTGGATAGCAAAGGTTTCACTGCAAATCCATGTAGCTTTGATCTAACATATTTTAGGTTGGTGTATAAAGAGTACAAATATTACAGCATACAGTAAAATTAAAGATGTCTTTCATAGTTACTTATATGTTCCTCCCCCTCTCACACAATACTTTCCTTGGCTCCCCGCACCCCCAGCTCAAGCTTCCAGTTGGCTTTGCCAAGTGCTTTCAAACCGTTCCAATGCTACTGAGATGTTAAATTGAGGGACCGTTTGCCTGTTGAAGTGGACATTAAAGATCCTTGTAGTCCTGTAGCTCAGTGGTTAGTGCACTCGCCTTGCAAGCTGGAGACCTGGGTTTGATTCCCGGCAGGGCGAAACCTTGGATACATTTCCTTACTCCACACACCTCTGTTTATCTAGCAGTAAGTAGGAATCCAGTTGTTAGTCGATTGGCAGATTGCTCTTCAAGGCATAATAATTCCTTCATAAAAAAATTTAAAATTGGTACATTGCTGTGCACAATTGGCTGCCGGGTTTCACCCACAAAACATAGTCAATTCACTTTAGAGTATATTCTCTGAAGCGCTTTGAGACGTCTCGAGGACGTGATAAGGCACTAGGTCAAATTCAAGGATTATTATTATTATCCCATGGCACTATTTGAAAAGAGAACGGAGTTTCTCCTGGTGTCCTCCAAATTAAATTAGTATTCACTTCATATCTCTTTGTGGAACATTGCTGTGTGCAAATTGGCTGCCGAGTTCGTCCACAACTAGTCGCTACACATTCCAAACTTTGTAAAATGCTCTGAGATGTTTCACGCAATAATGCAATGATTATAATTTAAGATAATGACAAATCGCCATTATAACAAACTGTATAAAACTCTCCCCGCCCAACATGAAAGATGCTATATCAAGTGCAAGGATTTATTATTAATAGAATCAAAGGAGGGGTTTGAAAAAATATCCATCCACACACAGGAATGTGAGACTACATCATTACTTTAAAACAGAATGAAATACTGTATTTGCATGGGAAACAGGAATATTAAGGATATGTGGAGCAAGCAAGAGATGGTTTATGTGGAGAAATACATGGGTCAAAGGTTTGTTTCAGTGCTATAATATTTGCTATAATATTCTATGAAAATATGCATTTGGTACTTGAGTGCTGGTGTAGTGGCTTTTGCCTAACATCATCAAAGAATTTTTTCTTTGCTATTTGATGCTAACAACATGACTGAGTATTTGCGATCTTACCTGTAATAATAACGTGTCTAGCATTTGATAAAGCATCCTTACAGCAAGCATCTCGAAAGGAATGTAACGTATTTCAACAACGACTTGCATTTAAACAGCGCTCTTCACCATGGTAATATCTCAGAGTGCTATAAGGGTGGAGAGGTTGGTTGGCGAGAGGTGACGTGAGTGGAGGTGCAGTTCAAAAAGTAGGTATTAGGTGGGATTTGAAGATAATGTGATGTACGACCCGGTCAGAGAGCCAGGGAGGTGCTTGGGCGTGAAGTGGCTTGTGAGGCTGAGGAACTTGAAGTCGATCTGTTTCGAGACATGGAGGCAGTGAAGCCCGGTGAGGAATGAGGTGATAGATTTTAGTTTAGTTTAGTGCAGATCAGGATTAAGGGTAGCGGAGTTTTGTATTTGTTGGTAAATGTAAATAAACTCTATGAAAAATGGACTTCACCACCAAAAAGTGTTTTGCTTTATACCCACGAAGAATATTTTGTTCGGTACAATCTGCACATCGATTTAAAAAAAACACTAGTTTGAGGTAAGCTGCACAGCGAACCGACTTGGGAGTGATTCCACCACAAACCTGTACTCATTAGATAAAAGGTCAAACAACATTGCTGCTCCTTGATCTCCAGAAACCTCACAAGCTTGATTTCCTCGCAACAAGGTGAGGCGAACAAGGTTGTTCAAAGCCGTTTAGGGGATTGTTTTAATAATCCTTTGATGGAGGGCCTTACCATATTGCTCAGATATCTCAAAGCGCTTCACAAAATATACTGTAAAATGGATTAACTGTATATTTTGTGGGCGAAATGCGGCAGCCAATTGACACAACAGTGTCCCACAAACATTGAGCAACCAAATTATTTTTTTGACGGATCCCTGGAAAGCGATCCACCAATCAATTAACAGCCGGATTCCAACTTACAGCTAGGTAAATTGAGGAGGTGGAGTAGGGAAACTTGCCTAAGGTTTGACCCTACCCGGGAATCGAACCCCGCTCCTCTTACTTGCGAGGCGAGCGCACCAACCACTACGCTACAGGCCTCCGCATGGTAATAAATTACCATTTAATGGTAATAAAGTTGGAGGGGTGGGCTGCAGGCTCGCGCTTGCTCCACTCCTAATGAATTACTAACTTCAGTAACATCAGTACATGATGGGCCGGTTGAGCCCCTTTACCCAGAGACAAGCAAAAAGGTGCACTCTCCACCTTTTTGTTTTGTCTCCTGCTTCTCTGTACCCTCCACCAGTTGTTTACAGACTGCTACTGTCTAATAAATATAATCCTTTCATTTGATGGAACGCCTTATCAAGTCGCTGAGACATCTCAAAGCGCTT